TTGTAAACCCACTGGGCAGGTTGTTAGTGAAGACACTGAGCAGGTTGTTATTGACACCAGTGAAAAGTATGTTGTGAAAAACACTTGACTGGTTGTTATTGAAGCCATTGGACTGGTTGTCATTGATGCCAATGGGCATGTTGTAATTGAAGGCACTGGACTGATAGTTATTTAAGCCTCTGGGCTGTTATCATTAAATACACTAGACAGGTTGCTATTGAAGCCACTGGACTGGTTGTTATTGAAGGCACTGGACATGCTGTATTGACGGCACTGTACTGATATTATATTATAAGCCTATGGGCTTTAAATCCACTGGACAGGTTGTAATTGAAGTCACTGGAAATGTTGTTATTTAAATCACTGGAATGGTTGTTATTGAAGTCACTGGAAAGGTTGTTATTGAAGCCACTGGACTGGTTGTTATTGAAGGCACTGGACTGATAGTTATATTAAGCCTCTGGGCTGTTTATCATTGAATCCACTGGACAGGTTGTTTTTGAAGTCGCTGGATGGTTGTTATTGAAGCCGCTAGACTAGTTGTTAATGAAGCCACTGGGCGTGTCGTAATTAAAGCCACTTGGCTGATAGTTATTTAAACCGCTGGGCATGGTGTTATTGAAGCTAATGGGCACGTTGTTGTTGTAGCCACTGGACTGGTTGTTGTTGACGCAACTGAGCAGGTTGTTGACGCCACTGGGTGTGTTGTTATTGAAGACACTGGGCAAGTTGTAATTTAAGCCACTGGACTGATAGTTAATTAAGCCACTGGGCATGTTGTTATTGGCGCCACTGGGCATGTTGGTATTGACACCACTGGGCAGATTATTACTAATGCCAATTGGCAGGATGCTGTTGAAGCCAATGGGCATTTCGTAATTTAAGCCATGGACTGGTAGTTATTTAAGCCACTGGGCATGTTGTTACAGACGCCACTGGGTGTGTTGTTGTTTTTGACGCCACTGGGCGTGTTTGTTTGTAAAGCCACTGGGCAGGTTTGTATTGACGCTACTGGGCAGGTTGTTATAGACGCCACTGGGCAGGTTGTTATTGATGCCACTGGGCAGGTTGTTATAGACGCCATTGGGCGTGTTGTTATTGAAACCACTGGGCGTGTTATCAAAGCCACTGGGCAGGTTGTTTGTAGGGCACTGGGCATGTTGTTATTGACGCCATTGGGCGTGTTTATTTGTAAAGCCACTGGGCAGATTGTGATAGACGTCACTGGGCAGGTTGTTATAGACGCCACTGTGCGTGTTGTTATTGAAGCCACTGGGGGTGTTGTTTATTGAAGCCACTGGGCAGGTTGTTGTAGACGCCACTGGGTGTGTTGTTATTGAAGCCACTGGGCAGGTTGTTTGTTAAGCCCCTGGGCATGTTATTATTGACGTCACGAGGCAGGTTGTTATAGACGCAACTGGGCATGTTGTTATTGAAGTCATTGGGCAGGTTGCTTGTAAAGCATTGGGCAGTTTAATGTTGAAGACACTTGGCTGGTTGTTATTGACGCCAATGGATAGGCAGGTTGTTGAAGCCAATTGGTGTGTTATTGAAGACACTGGGCCAGTTGTAATTAAAGCAACTGAGCTGATAGTTAATTAAGCCAATGAGCATGTTATTATTGACGCAATTGGGCAGAGTTTTTTATTAATGCCAATGGGCAGGATGTTATTGAAGCCACTTGACATGCGTAATTAATGTTATAGGCTTATAGTTATTTAAGCCACTGGGCATGTTATTGATGCCACTGGGCAGGTTGGTATTGAAGCCACATGGCAGGTTGTTTGTAAACCCACTGGGCAGGTTGTTAGTGAAGACACTGAGCAGGTTGTTATTGACACCAGTGAAAAGTATGTTGTGAAAAACACTTGACTGGTTGTTATTGAAGCCACTTGGCATGTCGTAATTAATTAAGCCACTGGGCTGATAGTTAGTTATTGACGCCACTGGGCATGTTGTTATTGGCGCAACTGGGCATGTTGTTTTTTGAAGATACTGGGCTTGTAGTTATTGAAGACTCTGGGCTGGTTGTTGTTGAAGACACTGAGCTTGGTGTTGAGGACACTGGGCTAGTAGATGTTGAAGACACTTGCAGTGACTTGGCTGTTTGTTAATAAAGCCACTGAGCAGGTTGTTATTGCAGACACTTAGCTGGTAGTTATTGAAGACACTGGGCAGGTTGTTGTTAAAGACACTGGGCATGTTATTGTTGGAAACTATGGGCAAGTTGTTGTTGAAGACACTCGGTAGGTTGCTGTTGAAGCCTCTAGGCATGTTGTTATTGAAGACACTGTGCTGGTTGTTGTTGAAGACATTGGGCAGGTTTTTATTGAAGACACTGGACTTGTTGTTATTGAAGACACTGAGCTGGTTGTTGTTGAAAATTCTGGGCTGGTTGTTGTTGAAGACACTGGGCCTGTTTTTGTATAAGCCACTGGGTAGGTTTGTTATTAAAGACACTGGGCTGGTTGTCGTTGAAAACACTTGGCATGTTGTTATTAATGGCACTTGGCTGGTTGTTGTTGAAGACACTGGGTAAGTTGTTATTGAAGACACTGTGCTGGTTGCTGTTGAAAACACTGGACAGGTTTGTTATTACAGAAAACGGGCAGGTGGCTGTTGATGAAGCCACTGGGCTGTTTATTATTAAAGTAACTTAGCATATTATTATTAAAGTCACTGATGGCGAATATTTAGACAATACTGATTGTTATTGAAGCTATTAGGCTGAACTTCAGACATGCATATTGGTATGTTATTTAACAAAATAAACTTCTTTAAATAGCTATATTAAAGATGCTGACATACACCTTGATTAAAATTTTTAGTTAAAATAAAATTCACTGAGAAGTCCAATGTTCATAGGTTTCGAAATGATTCCAGACGTCTCTCATATACAAGAGCCAGTGCTAACGCCTGTATTTCTGATAGAATTTTTCTGAATCATAACAGGTTAAAATGGGACAGAGGAAAGGATGGTTACGTTAGAGAAGACTTTAAAACACAGTTATCTGTTTATCAAAATTTAGGAACTCAAATAAATATTCAATGCTATTTGCCCGTTCTTTGTGTTTCGAGCGCACTTGTCTCTGCAAGTGGCGTCTCCCATGTAAGAGTTTGTGGTCATTTGATAAATAATTTATGTTCGTTTGAGTTTACGAATTAGAATTTAAATGTATTTATCAAAGTTGTCCAAAAATCGAACATGTAAAAATGTTGTTTGTTTATAGTTGACTACATGTAGTGTTTGGTTAATTATAGTAAGGTCGGTTCGATTGGGATATTGATGGTTTAAAGTCATTCGAGCCATTGCAGTCAAAGTGTACAGTAGCATTTTGCCAAATGAATACTATTATTAATTATATTATTTATTTTCACTAGTATGGGGAAACCAGTACATGTACTACATGTACAAGCTGCTTAATACCTGTGTATTTATATGAACTTTCCACAATATTATACTCATATTTATAATAAAATGTGCACTTGTCTCTGCAAGTGGCGTCTCCCATGTAAGAGTTTGTGGTCATTTGATAAATATTTTATGGTCGTTTGAGTTTACGAATTAGAATTTAAAAAGTTTTACACAACAACTGTTGAGATAAAAACAACATAAAATTTAAGTGGCTGTCATCATTCATTTACTGAAATTAGACAAATTTGTAATTTATCAGTAAAATTAACACTACACAGGTTGGTTCAGATATCTTACTAGCTACAGTGATAATTTCTGCATCCTTTGTGATAAAACTAGTGTACATAGATGGCATAGTTTTTGTGCAAAATATGAAATATAATTTCAGTTGTATATATAATACACATTATATACTGTTATATACATATTTAAGAACAAACAATTTCATTACTTTTTGTTAGGGATGAAAAAATTAAAAAAAACAACAGAAAGTAACTGTTTGGTATAAACATTTCAACTAGTTATATATAATAAGTAAGAGACTTTTTATACGCCCGTTTACGGACGTATTATGGTATAACGTTAACCGTCCGTCGTCAACATGTCGGACAATAACTCAAAAGCGCTTTAACCAATTTGCATGAAACTTTGGTGAATTGTTTATATCTATTGACGTGAGCTCCTTTCGATTTCTATAAATTTTAGAAAATACGTTTCCGAGTTATGGGGTTTTATTCATTGAAAATAGAGGATTTTCTAGTTTTCGGACAATGACTCAAAAATGCTTTAACGAATTTGCATGAAACTTTGATGAATTGTTTATATCTATTGAGGTGAGCTCCCTTTCGATTTTATATTTTACGTTTTTGAGTTATTGGGTTTTATTCATTAAAAAAGGGAGATTTTCCAGTTTTCGGATAATAAATCAAAAATGCTTTGAGCAGTTTTCGTGAAACTTTGGTGAATTGTTTATATCTATTGACATATGCTCCCTTTAGTTTTTATACGACCACAAGAGTTGCGTTCGTATATTGCTATCATGTTTTGTCGTCGTCGTCGTCGTTGGCGTCCGAAGACATTTGGTTTACGGACTATAACTTTAGTATAAGTGAATGGATCTCTATGAAATTTAAGCACAAGGTTCAATAGCACAAAAGGAAGGTTGGGATTGATTTTGGGGGTTATGGTCCCAACTGTTTTGGAGTTAGGGGTAAAAAAGGGACCAAAAAAGGCATTTTTCTAGTTTCCGGACAATAACGTGTGTATAAGTGTATGGATCTCTATGAAATTGTACCACCAGGTTCCATACCACAAAGGGAAGGTTGGGATTGACTTTGGGGGCTATGGCTCAAACCGTTCAGAAATTAGGGGCAAAAAAGGGGGGAAAAGGTTTTTCTGGTTAATGGCAAATTACTTAAGTATTAGTCTATGGATCTCTATGAAATTAAAACACAACGTTCCATACCACAAAAGGGAATGTTGGGTTTGACTTTGGGGGTTATGGCTCAAACCGTTCAGGAATAAGTAGCAAAAGAGGGGGGGCAAGGTTTTTCCGGTTTCCGGACAAATACTTAAGTATTACCCTGCAGGCACACTTTGTTGAATCAACGTTGAATCTTTGTTGATTTTAGGTTATACATTGATCAACAAATATTCAACATTGATTCAACGTTGACAATTCAACGTTGAAATTAGAACATTGTTTCAACGTTGAATTAACATTGTGTTGAAACACCAATATTGAATCAACGTTGGCTAAACAATATATGATCATATATAAAACCTAGTAGTTGTGGATACCAGAATTGTCAAAAAAGAAATATTGGGCACATTACAATTCTTTTTAAATTGTCAACGATATTCACATAAAATAAGAATATTCAGTAGATATATCACTAATTGTCGTGGTGATTATAGAATTATATATAAAATAATCGCAGTGTATATCAGCATAAATTAATCATGAACTTTGCACCCCATATAATAGAAATTCCCAAATTTCACCCCACCCCAAAACATAATAAATTAATAGAACCAGCTTGCATACAGAATCATACAGTAAATATGATTATTTGTGAATAACCCCTTCCCCTAAAAATATGCCCCCTTTTTTCCGTGGCTGCCAATGTCAAATATTTTGTTTTCATTCCTTTTTTTTCTTTTCTTTTTAACAATCTAAAGAGAAAGACGTATATATCAGTTCATAAACAATGGTTGATAACTTGTAATATAAACAACCGATAGATCTATTGGAATAGTGATTTTTAAATTTTCGCGGCATTTTTAACATTTCTATTTTAAGATAAATTCAGATATGCGCATGCGCAGTTGTTTTTGTTGCCAAAGTTTGAATATCCGCTTTCGAGACCACAAGGTGATTCTGCAGAGTTTTTATCAATATCTTTCCTGTATACAGCTTTTATATTTTATCGTAAGTATATATAAATTGTTGTGATTACAGTAAATACAGTATCGTATTTTAGAAATGTGAGCATATCAAGTTGTTATGAAAACTGTACTGAAAAGTTGAAATTTTACACGAGGAAAAGGGGGATGTTTAGCATGTTACCATTCCCGATTTACCTTGCAACGTCTCATGATTTTTTTATCGTTGACTATTTGAATTCATCATATGATTGAATCAAAAAGTAAAAAGAAATTTTATCTTTATTTACCTGTTCAATTTAGTTACACGAAATCTCACAAAAAGGGGGGCTTGAGTTGTTTACAAAATTGGGATGGAAAGGTCAGAAGCTATATGGCTCACCAAGTTGGACCTTTAATATTTTACTGTCAAAATTGAAGTAGTGTTTTGACAAGGTAATCAAAGATGAAGGGTATATCATATGAGGGTGGTAAAGAAATATTTGCATGCAACGTATTTGGCCTTTTTATTTCTCGTTTTCTTGTCTTTGGTTCGACATGCGTTATTTTTGTTTCCCCTTATTTATTTTCCGTGTTTCGTGTTGGTACTCTTTATTTCTCGTGCTTGTCCCACATTGGATAAAAAAAGTAAACCGGGACTAAATTCCAAGTCAGTCTGGATTATAAATTATGTGTTCCCAGGATATCATGGATATTAATTGCTATCAAGTTATGAATAATTTTGTTTTCAAATCGGATGCAACTAGCAGACGCGAAAAGGTGACCACAGGGTCTTCTTGTCCATTATCATGACTGTGTGATCTCCAAGAACGACTGAGTAATAACTGATAGTACTTTTTCCTTAACATTTACGATTTTATTTCTCGTGCTTCGTTTATCCCAATTTTTATTTTCCGTGTGACGTTTTGGGGATTTTTATTTCACGTGTTTTCGTGTTAAGAACCTTCCTTTACAACCCTTGTATATGTCAATCAGACCGATATCCATGCAGCAGCACAAGTAATAGTAGTATAAGTAATACAGAAAAAGACATATGTGGATAAACCTTCAATTTGTTCAAGTTAAAATGTAGTATTTCGGATTTTCTTGCAGATTATACTTTCTGGTCTATATAAAAGGAAATGTAGTTGAGATTTTGATGGAAGTTTAACTTTCATTTAGTTTTCATGAGTTCTTATGCTTTTGGTTTATACTTTAAATATCATCATTATGAAGTTATTAATAGTTAAATGTGTTGAACCGTATTAAACTTGACAATGTTATAACTTTTGATTTTGTAGATGTCATCATGAAGACCTATGGAATCACGGAACAACAAATGTCTGACCAAACAACAACCTTTCTGAAATGGGCTCCAAAAAGACAGGGTGGGAGAAGAAAGAAGCTGAAATTTTCACTATTAATAAATAAATTTATTTTAATTTTATCGTATTGAATATTTCTCTATAATCAGTGGTTGGACATTAGAGATGGAGTAGGAACAGCAAAATTTGTTTTATATTTTGATCACTCAGATATTTAGAATATACATTGGGCAAAAACTATGTGTATTAAGGGTTGTGTGCTTTCAAAAATTAGGATAGATCAATATTTGTCTATCATAATTTGTGTTTTTATATGCATATCGTTAAATGTTAAAAAGTTCTCGGGGGTTAAAGTATGGTTCGTAGGAAAGCCCTAAACACACATATTTGTTATTCAGTTGATTGGTTGTTGACATCATCATGGTCAAGCCATGCTCTTATCACAAGAATGTGGTCTCTCAGTTTTATTGTTGAAAATTGTTCTATGAGTAATTGACAGTCAATGGTATATATTCAAAGTTTTTATTGTTGTCTATTGTTAAAAAGACAATCATCAACCAAAAAACATTATTTATATATCTTTGGGTCACCATACAGTCTTCAACAATGAGCAAAAGATCACATCATGTCAAACATGACCAGGCAATGATATTATTTAAAGTTCATCAATTTTTATCTGAGATTAATTTTTATATTTTGGTCTGATGGAGCAGTTATTGGATAAAGTTTCCTGCGGCAGAATGTTGCTATGACATTTAGCATGTAGAGGGCCTTGAGAAGACACTAGCTTGAATATTGCTACAGTATAAAATTATGGAATGCAACACACAGAAAATACAGGATGAATGAAACTTAGTTTTAGGTGGAAACACAGTTAAACACAACCACTAACCAATTTTGATTCCATGTTGAATATGGTATTCACCCTGAATTCAATCTGAATTCAAGGTGAGTTATTGGTTTAAACAATGCTGAAGCAACCATTATTCAATATTGATTCAAAGTTGAATATCAACGTTGATTCAACGTAGGATTTCAACGTTGATACAAATTTGCAAAATCTAATAATAATTCAACATTGATTCAACATAGAAAATGAACATTGATTCAATGTTAAATCAACGTTGTGTGCCTGCTGGGTAGTCAATGGATCTCTATGAAATTGTACCACAAGGTTCCATACCACACACAGAAGATTGGGGTCAATCTTGTGGGTTGTGGCTTTAATCGTTAAGAAACTAGAGGCCAAACAGGGGCCAAAAACAAGACTTTTCTAATACTGGCTAAGCTGGTTTTAACATAAATTATTTCTGATCTATATAAAGAAACAACAAATACTGATATGACAGGAGATACACACCAAACAGGGTGTGTAAATTATTATATTTAGTTTGTAAACAGATTTACTAAGTTTGCGCAACAGCAAAGTCTTGCATAACAGCAAGAAATCTTCAATTGAAAATAAATACAAATCTTTAAACCAATTTCAATGAGGATTAATTTAAAGTCTTGAATTATTTGAGGTTTTTACCATGTATTACTATATTGGATATTTGGACATTTTTAAATAGGTCTAAATTGAGGTCCAAAGGGTCGTAAATTAGACTTTGTTTGATTTCATCAAAAACTGAATTCTTGTGGTTCTATGATATGCTGAATCTAACTGTACATTCATATTTTTAATTTTGGGCCCTGTTTTCAAATTAGTCCATATTAAGGTCCAAAGGGTCCAAAATTAAACTTTGTTTGAATTCATGTTTTTTTTTTATATGCTGAATCTAACCATGGAATTAGATTTTGTATATTGGACCATTAGGTAGATTAAATGTCCCATTTCAAATTTTTAAGTTATCTGACCATATTTATTCTGTGTCAGAAATCTATAATGTGTCAAATATTTAATCACTATCCAAATTCAGAGCTGTATCAAGCTTGAATATTGTGTCCATACTTGCTCCAACTGTTCAGAGTTCGACCTCTGCGGTCGTATCCAGCTGCTGCAGGCGGAGCGCATTTCTTTTTTTAATTTCTGATATGACATTGAGGAGCTATGGAACTTTATTCTTTGAAAAAGCGACGGGCGTATCATGCGCTCATGGCACAGCTCTTTCTTAAAAGCAAGATAGAATTTTACAAACGAACATGCATATGTTTCACATCTGTATGACAATTGGCATATTCAAAGTTGATCTTTTCAGTTATTTTCCACTTAAATGTATCACACAATGCAAGTTAACTTGAATAAATAACTAAAAATGGGGGTTGAAAAATTAAAACGAAATGTTCGTTTAATTTTATAAATGAATAAAAAATCCATAAATATCAGGATTCATATTTTATCTCTAATAAAATTTAACTAAGGCTCTAGCAGAATCCCCTCCCCACCCCCAATCCCTTTATTAATATTTCAGGACTACTGTAATTGTTATTTTATTATTTAGTCAAATTAGAAACAATATTCTTATTCTGAGCTGACCTGTCTTTGTAGTTACTGGTTAATGCTTTGTGCTTAGCGGAGAAGCAGCAAATACTAATCTTATTTTGCCTTGACTTAGGAACCATGCAGCCACCTCCCAACCTATTTGAATCACAACGTATGGACTCTAAATTCTATGATTGAGATTTCAGTGTTATATACAACCTGTTTGCAAAAAAATACAATTCATAAGCATGAAAATAATTACTTTTCTACTTTCTTTCATAATCATGTGAAATCTCCATCTATGACAAAACCTGTAGTCAGGTAGTGTTTACATTGTTTGGAGTCATATTACACCACCTTGTACATAGTATAACTTTTTACAGATAAAAATTGAAACAATAATATATTTAATTGAAAGTGACAAGTACTTAGATAATACTAGCTTATCTGACATTTAATACCAGATGAAAGAGCGCTCCAGAATAGCGAAAAATAGAGGCTGTGTGGTGGACTGTATACACATCCTCCACTCAAAAAGTGACGTACTATTGATATAAATATGTATGAAAAGATAACAATTTTATTATAACAGGTAATACAACATTTCGGCGCTCATCGCTTTCTCTCTAGTCAATGTAGACTGAACCAAATTTCCGAACGGTTTGAATGATCGTTGATGATTGATGAATCCTTGTACTGAGACTTGGTCATGTTGGTGCAGTGTTTCTGCTGAAGGTGAAGTATATATATATTTATCTTGTATGTTTATACTTGTATTGTATATTAAATATACGTGTACAAATATGAAAAAGAGCTCGAACGGAATGTCGTACCTGATCAGTATGTAAAGTAAACATGGTAAATGATTATAATATATTCAACGAATGCAGTGCTCAAAGTGGATATTTTCCTATTTAAAATGCTTCGTTGTAAAGTACAATATTTATTGGGAGGAAAAACCTTGAGTTAGTACAAAAACGCAAGTAAATAGGTCGAGAATTTTTAAATGCATAACATTTTGTGTAAATGGAAATTACGGCACGTCATGTGTGCCACAAAAGTGAATACAATGCCATTTTTTTTTTTGGATAAAGATGGGCACTCTAGCTTGTATCTTTTGAAAATTGTATCGCAGTTGTAAGTCAAGCCATTTGGAAGGGTTAACAATGGTTAATGCATCGAAAATACAAGGAGAAAATTTTATTCTTTCTTGTACACTTTAAATAACTCCTTCTGTTGATAAATTAATTATTTATTATTAGGTTTTCTTATGGGTTTTTTAATAGTCACCTGACAGAGGATTGACATGATTTTCCTTTTTAATCTATTCGCTTATAAAGACAATTTGCATAATTTTAATTAAGCACACCTGTAACTTTTTATGACTGAGCAAGGTAAGAAAACATTTGTTATATGTCTAGCAATTTTTAATTTCTTTAACTTTGGCTGTTTTTTTTACTTCCTTTCATATCCTTTGTTTTTCTATTATATTACTAATTTACTGATTCAAACAGATTCACTGGGTATTTCTTATTCACCATGGAAATTGCACGTTTTTTTGCAAGCATACTTATATCTTCTTATATCTTTATACCAAGATTTATTCACAAGCACACATTTGAATACATAAATTTTTCAATAATATGCATATACATAACTTTATTAGTATCTTTAAATCCTCAATTAGGATAATAGTAATACAAACGTAAATCAAAATGGGAATGAAGATGATTATAGATGTTGACACTGGTGTAGACGACGCTTCAGCCATAATGTTAGCACTGTCTAGATCGGAAGTAGAGGTTGTAGCAATAACTTGTGTAAATGGCAATGTCGCCATTGATGATGTATGCCGGAATACGCTCAGGGTTTTGAAAGTGTGCAACAGACTAGATGTAAGTACATGTATATCATAAAAAGAAAGGTTAAACCCAATAGTTCTTCCTTCCTACCTCCGTATATCATATCTGTCCACCCTTTAAAGTAAATAATTGTTTTTTTTAAATCGATATTGGATAGTTTTTTTACACTGCAATTAACGCTCGGGGAGTTGGGTGGAGAGGGGTACTTACTATGCACTGAGTGGTAGGATGAGCCGCTGGAAAAGACACTATCAATATAGTTGCTCCAGATGGTAAGCCGCAGTTCTTGCTTAATAAGAGCACCCGTCGTGTTGCTCATGGAAATTAAACGACATGTTATGATTAAGGTCTCTTGAACGTTTATTCAAAACGGTCTCACATGTAGTTTTATACATAAATGTTAAATGTTTGTTTGTTTGAGCTCTATGTAAAAGTTATGTATTGTATTATTCAGTCATGGACATAGGTGCTTGAGGACAGGATCCTGTTTTGAGCCCCTATAGTCCCTCCCTCTTATTATCATAAATCTTAGATTTTTCAATATATATCACTTATTTGTACCATATATATACTAATATACCATATTTTTACGAAGCGCTCGATCTATAGTCGAGATTCACGTTGATAGTAAACATGAATATTAAGAGTAAAAATATGGTATATTAGTGTATATATATATATTATGTTTATCTTACCTCCTATAGATTTATAGAGATATGATTGGTTAAAGGACTACACGTGGTGACTATGTATATTTGATATAGGGTGTCCTAAAAAATATAGGGTTAGCAACCATACATGGTTAGTTACCATACGGGGTTAGTAAGGAGTTACTTCC